CGCAAAACCCAACTTGATTGAATCTCTATTCTCGCGTAGCACGGTATGCGTGTTTTGTATGTAACACGAAAAGCAAAAGCTCACATTGCGTTCTCAGTTGTAACCTTGTTTTTATAATAATAACTAATTTAATTGTCGTGAAACAATTCTGATTAATATATCTAAGAAAAGGAATTAATAATTAAATAGTATAATTAATAAAGTTTTATTATAAAATGTTTGGTTTCCATAATTATACTCTTTAATCATTGTATATTAATATTTGTTTAAAATAAATGACGGTATAAAAGACATACACCTTAGGAAGCAAAGTGAACATGATTCTATAAATATTTATACAATAATAATAATAATGATAATGTAATTTAATTTACCTTTGCTTGCAATTGGGATGTGCTAAATATATGAATATAAAATCAAAATTTGACTTTAAGGCTGAGATTATTTTCGGTTCACATTTAATAATAATATTAAAGAGAAATAATTGTCAAATTCCCGTGATCTGTTAATCATTATTTTACAATACTTTTTTTTGACGTGTTTTTTTTTCATTTATTTGTTTATTATGGAGAATCTTGATACACTTTCTATAGAAACTAGACAAAAAATATTAAAAATATTTGAAGAATCTAGAAGTCAAGGATTTATGGACCAACAACAGTATCAAAACCAACAACAAAACCAAGATCAAAGTCAAAATCAATTACAACAAAATCATCATTTTACAAATAATTTGTCTGCAGAAGTAAAATATTTGCTATAATTATTTAATTATTTCCTATTATTTTTATTATAAATATTTTTGTTAATTTTGTTATAGGTAAGAACACCAATTGCACGACCATCAACAAATTATAATTTATGTGAAGTTCTGGGGTTAGGAAGTCAAAAGCAAATATGGTTGTCATACTTGGTAATAGATTAAAAATAATTGTGAATGTTTATTTGTTCATTGTTTATTATTTATTTATTATTATTGTAAACAAAGGATTATCTACATCTAACAGTTGCTGAAAAAGGAATTGATCTTTCAAAATTTCGTGAACAAAAAGATGAAATATTTCCTTCAATAATTAAAAATGTGTGTTTACAAATTTTATTATGCTTAATTCAATAATAATTATGATAATTAAACAAAAATTATTATTTTCTAGTTTAAAAAAAAAATCCTGATTTTCCACTAACATATGGTGATTGGACCATAAGGCAAATGGTGGTCAAATGGTCAAATACATTCAAAGAATTAGTATGAATATCATTTTAATATTTATTGAGATTTAACAAAAACTTATGAAAACTAAATTTTATATACTAGGATATGTCAATAAAAAAAAACAAACAACAAAGATGTTTTAACAGATATTTCTAATGATAATGATGTTTTTACTAACATTCGCAGTAATGATAACAGTTTCAATAATAATATTACAAATACTATAGATAGCAATAATGTCAATAATATTAGCAGTAGAAATAATAATATTACTATTAATAGTAGCAATTATGATCAGGATTACATTAATGATGGTGATAATTATACTAACATTGATGACAATAATGATACTGGTAATAAGAATTAATTTATTATTATTCAATAACTTTAAATTGATAAAGAATTAATTATATCATTCTTTCAATAGAAAATAATTTATCAAGAAAAAATGTTAAATGACCTAGAAAATCTGCTGGTGCTATTATTGAACAATGTAATCAATCTGTTGCTGAAATTGAACATATTATTAATAGTAACAATTATGACACTAATAATGGTGATAATCCTATTAGTATTAATGACAATAACAATACTGGTAATGATAATTAATAATTATTGTTATTCAAGGTATACACATAACTTTAAATTGATAAAAAGTTAATTATATCATTTTTTCAATAGAAAATAATTTATCAAGAAAAAATGTTAAATGACCCAAAAAATCTGCTAGTACTATTGTTGAACAATCAAATAGTGGTCAATCTGTTGCTGATATTGAACAAGATATTATTGTTGGTGATGGTGATGTCCTTGATCAATCTCCTGGTGTTGAACAAACCACCAGTAAAAAACAAAGTGCTAGTAAAAAGCAAACTGCTAGTAAAAAACCTGGTAAAAAAAGTAAATTGGCAAGGGTAGAAAAAGTTGTCACCCGATCTAAAAAGTAGAAAATTTTTTTAGGTAGTTTTTGAATAGATTACTATATACTACTTCTTATCCATTTGTAGAAATATTATTTATTTTTATTTTCTTAATTTGATAGAAATAGGAAATTTTGTTTTTTGAGAAAAAATTAGCATTAATATTAAATAAAAAATACTACATCAAATTTAAAGACACCTTTATAAAATAATTACAAATAGATATGACAAATTTTATTTTTCACGAATGACCGACCAATTAAATTCACAAATTACCAGTCATGTGAAATTAAAATTTCAAATCGGGTTTTAAAAATATCTCGACTTTCTAATAATAAACTTGAACTTCACTATTAAGTTAAAAAGAAACTATACCATTTAAGCTTTCTAACCATATATTTTTATATCTGAGAACGCTCCCTATATAAAGCTATGGCTATTTAAAAGTAG